GGAAGCATGGCACAGTTATATTCTGAATCTGACGACGCTACTCCAGAATACTATTTAATCGTATTGACTTATTTTTCAAAATAAACAGACTTATTCCCTCATAAAAAGAAAATGAGCCGATCAAAGAAGGAATATCAGCATAAAGAGAAAGCCATTACCGGACTGCTTTTATTTTTCAATTGACAACCACAGAAGTGATGCTAGGCATGCTGATTTCGCATCATTCTCAGACATAATGCCTCAGGCAGTGTCCAGTTCTTTCATCGCTCCTGCCAAGAGTGGTCTCGATTGACATTACCGAGTAAAACACAATTCATTGTGCCTTCTTAACGGATCAATAAGACAGTGCCAACAATTCCTCCGTCCAGGTCCGTGGTCAGAGTGCCTTTGTTCTAGAACAAACTTCCTCATAATTGGAATGGAGTTCCGCTTCTGTTGACTCCAATTGCAGTTGCACAGTTAGCCAATCAGCGATGACCATTGCCTGCATGCCACTTCAGGAAAATCTCGGCCAGATTCTAATGGTCATTATAGACTATACTTATTACTATTAAAAAGCATTATTTCATATGCTTAAATCACATTCCATACAGTGTAACACAAATGGTATGAATATCTCGTCAGCTGAAACCGTTTGCAAAGGGTTGGGCAGCAGTACTCTCAAAATTCTTTTTGCCTCTATCAGCCTCGCCTCCTGCAGTTAATCCACCTTGATCGCTTGATCAATTTGTCGTAGGCACTGATGGTCTTTTATTACTGCGTCGAGAGCCATCTTTAGAATTTTCATCCTCAACTATAGATATTTCAATATTACAAAGGTAATGTTTTAGCATTTTATTATTTCTTTGCAATGGTAGCATTAACATTGTCATGAGCACTTGTTAATGTTCAAAAAAGCCTACAATCGGCAATTGGCTGCTTTGTTTCCTTCTTGTGCTCGGCAAGCAATTTTCTCATCAGTAAATGGCAGTCGTATAACCAAAAATGCATCAAAGACGCCTTTCGCATTGTGATGAGGAAAGTATTTCATTATGATTCAAGGTATTAAAAAATGCAAAAGCCATACGTTCAATTTATTCAGAAGTGTAGCATATTGTGTCAGCTTTGAAATAAATCCGTTTTTCTGTTGAAGCACTATCAAGAACCGTACAGTTTAAGTCAGCACCCCCCCCCTTAACCCTACTGTAAGCACAGCAGTTATCCCATTGGTCAGCTAGAAGGAAGAGCCTACTGTCAATAATTTAGAAAAGTAATGTGCTCGTTACATGAGTATTTATTATGACGAGGAAGACGAAATACTCCCAAATAGTCCAGCCGACGAATAGATTTGGCGAAAACGAAAACCGACGAAAACCAAGGTCAGTTTTCCCACGTTTCGAAGGGCGAATTTCGCATCTGCGGATGGCGAGTGAAGCCGAGTGCTCGGCGGGCCGCCGGCCAGTCGATCTATGGCAAGTTTGAGACAAACGGACTTTCACACCGTTGTTACGAGGCGCAACAGCTGCAGACGCGTATCGATGTCAACTCGATTCAGCCACGCCATGGGAAAGTGACGTAAATGGGGGACAGTGTTGTCCGGTGGACAATGGAGCGATGACCGGTTTCGCGAGTCGACCCCGGCCAGCAATTGTTGCATGGCAGTCGGTCCTCGTCGTCGCTCGGTCACTCACTCACTCACTCACTCACTCAGTCTGGGACTCGACGGCCTGACAGGCGGCGCCTCGGTGTGGACACGGTCATCGGGCGATGGCCAGACGGTGCGACCGACGACGAGGTCGACGGTTCAACGACCGTCTGTGCAGACATCCGAATTCGCTCAGTCAACAAGCACTTGACCGTCGACGACAATCAGGAGCGGGCCTTCGCGCTGACAGACCCCACAGGGGTCTATTCACATTACTCTGCCCAGACGTCGCACTCGCACCGGTACAAAGTCCGTCGTTTCAGACCAGACTTGTGCGGCTAAAAACATCGTCTGACCAGCCTGACCAAAAACGTGTCGGCCCTTTTAGATTAAAGAGTGTGCGTTAAGAGTGGTTTTTAAAACGCCCCGCATTATTTGGCCGTACACCTAATGGTCAATCAGTACGAATTTAACTTTGTAATCAGACAATGCTTGGCTGGAAGACGGTATTAGTTTACATATAACACACGTAATGCACACCATGACATTTGTCGCCACAACCTTTGCTCACACTGAGGAGGTACAGGTGCCTCAACGACCGTAGCATGCCGTTTTGCACCCCCCCCCCTACGAGTGACACAACATCAAAGACATTGCCGACTATTGTGCACATTTGTCACACACAAAATGACCACCGCTTTTCGTCGACTTAAACGATCTACAGTTCGTCTGATTGTCAGACTGTCAGCCATAGACATCGCCGAGCACTCATAACTCATAACCCGTGTTCAGTCGTTTGTCCAGCGACGCTGCACTCAATTAGAAATTTTCATTCGGTGACAACGTGTTTAATTACGTTGTTGGTTTCTGACTGCAGCTTGAAGCCTCTGGACAGCGACCTGCATGACGTCGACGGTTCGGATGACGAAGCCTCCGGCTTTTCACGGATGCCGATGGTGGTGCCATTCCGTTGCAAACGAAAATGCCTCATAATGTACCCCTCTGCGTGCACCCGAATGTGGAAGACCTTCGAGAGCATGCAGCTTAACGCAGTTGTTGTCGGTTTATCCTCATCCAGGGGCTTTGCATCGTTCATCTTTGATGCCCTCATCGTAGCCAGTGGTCAACGGCCATTTTACAAGGTCACTATGACGACCTGTAGTCCAAAGTACGGTGAGGTGCGCACCACTGAGTGAGCCAGTGAGTCTGAAAGCCATCGATTAATGCACATCTGGCTCTTAATCAAATCTTAATGCACATCTGGCGATTAATGCACATATATATATATATATATAGCAGGCCACAACTCCATGGTATTTAAATTGTCCCCTAAGCGACTTGAAGTAAAGGCCAGTGCAACAATACATTTCTTTATTTGCATTGCCCATTTTCGCCGTTGCAATCCGGAATCGTTGTTTTCAATATTAATTGAATGAATTATTGATATGACAAGGATTTATAACAGCCAGGACGTGATATTCTATTCGTTGACGAATAGTTCTGCATATGCAGATAACGAAACACAATGAATCGAGGGGCCATAATCGACCATAAGGGCAAACGACGAGCGGAGGCAATTACTGGGTTTCGGCTCTGTCGTAAATCGCAATGAGCCATTCAGAGCAAACCAGGACAATCCGCCAGAAGCAAATTCACCACATGCATGCCATAGACATCGGCTCTTGCTCAAACACGTTTAGAAGATGCAATCCATTCAAAGCGTTCTTCATTTCATGCGGACGTTAAATTCAAATCATAAGTGTTAAGAGCAACCATGGAAGTTCGTATAATAACTCTATGAGGATGCAACAGTTCTCAGACCATACTTGCACCACTAAATCAGCACCGCTAATCAGCTTATGACTGGCAGTGCCTCAAAGTCAATGCTGCTATGGGTTATTGGTGCTGCCTGTGATGGCCCTCATCATATCCTCTTTAGCACTATGCCATGG